AATAAAGGAATCCTGGGGTGGAAGTATTGGTCAGGAGGTTGGAAGACTCAAGTTGCGGCTGAGGGTGGGTCCCTGAGATTTCTGCCACCTGGAGCTGAGGACCGGCCAGGGTCTTGTGGTCCAAAGGACGCCTGGGTGACTCGCGTCCTGAGGGAGCGGGCGGGCCTCTCCTCAACGAGCGCCCGGACACCTGGGAGTAGAAGGAGGGTTACCTTCTTAGTTCGTGAACGGAAAATTATCCTTGACGTGGTAGAGAACTGTGTCCTAGAAGGAAAGCACCCCTCCTCTCTCCTGAGCCTTGGACACTGCCTGGGCCGGGAGACTGAGACCAGAGTCCCTGCCCAGCCTCCACTTGCCACAGAAAATTCTTCCCCCGGCAGTGGGAGCCAGGATGGGTCCTGAGACATTCCCATTTTAGAAGAGGGTGGAGCCCGTCTCTGTTGTTATTCTTGTTGTTCAGCCGCTCAGTCGTGTCCACCTCTTTGCGACTCCGTGGACTGCAGCACGCCAGGCTTCCCTGTCCTTCACCATCTCCCAGAGCTTGCTCAAACTCATATCCATTGAGTTGATGATGACATACAACCATCTCATCCTCTGTTGCCCCCTTCTCCTCCTGCCCTCCATCTTCTCCAGCAATCCTTAGAATAAAGAAATGAGGGAAGACTCAGGGACTCTGGGGAGGAATTAGGAAAGAAAAGATGGAAGAGAGGGCTGAAGGGAGATGCGGGCAAGTGGGCCACATGCGTCACTCCATCAGGACCTGGGAACATTCCCAGGACAGCCTGGACAAGAGCCGAGCAATGAGGGCTCTTCTGATCCAGGGAAGGAGCCCAGGAAACCATAGGCTTGGGACCCCACAGGCCTCCAGGAGATTTGCCTGCAGAAAGGCATGTGCAGTGATAACATGGAGAATTTTGGACAAGATGGAGAATTTGTACCATCTCCTTCTGCCCAGGCAGAAGCAGATATCCCATTTGTCCAACTGGAGAAACACCAGCCTCTGTGCCCACTCCCTGGATATCGGGAATGCAGCCTCTGAGACCAGTCACCACAATATACTGGGGGAGCTGGACCCTACCAGTCGGACCTTCACCACCAGCCAGCAACCTCAGAGAAACGTGATAACATGGACAGATCATGGGGAAGAAGCAAATCCTAACGAAAGAGCAAATTAAAACCCATCAGATAAACACACAAACAGGGGCTGATTTAATGTCTCCAGAGAGCACCCAAACACATCCATGAAAGTGTACACAGGTAACACAGCTTTCTGCATCTAGATTTTCACAAGCGATGGGACTAGCAGAAACAAATGAACAAACAAACCAGTATTTAACTTCTATTTCCTCTTCATCATAATTGCTTTGTGCCATTAACCAAATTATTTTTCAGTATCCTTCCCAGTTGATTAGGAACAATAATGTGGCCTCCTGCAGATAGAAAAGGCACTGTGTAAGCTACGAAATTATTTATGTGATATATTTTTATGTGATTTTGTGATACTGCACATTAGAGTCTGAGGTTCATCAAACCTGCCTGTGTGCGTGGGAAGTTGCTTCAGTTGCATCCAACTCTGTGCAACCCCATGGACTGTAGCCCGCCAGGCTCCTCTGTCCATGGGATTCTCCAGGCTAGAATATTGGAGTGGGTTGCCATGCCCCTCCTCCAGGGGATCTTCCCGACCCAGGGATGGAACCTGTATCTCTATGTCTTCTGCACTGGCAGGTGGGTTCTTTACCACTAGGGTCTCCTGGGAAGCCCTCATTAAATCTATTTGTACTTAATGAGCATTTACTACATAGTATGTGCTTTGCCAAACTTTTAAACGTATTTACTCATTTAATCATTACAAAACGTCCTAGATTAGGTTCTACCACTTTCTCTGTTTTACGGAAGATGCAATAGGCACCTTAAATGAAGTCACACAGCATACGGAAGATACGTTCAACTTTTCAGCAAAAATGAAACTAGGCTCATTTTATAGATTAAAAATTCTCAAAATGATTTCTGAAGGAATAGAAACAGCTTATATTTCTATTAAATAATTTGTATAAAAGGTCAATGAACTACGTGGCTACTCTTCTGAAATAAGCAAATGGACCGATAAGACAGGGATCCCTCAGAGGTTCAGCATCTGTAGGTGAACAAAATGCAAACTAGGTAAGTGTGAAAAGAAAAGACTGTTCAATAACCAGTTGGAGAACAATCTGGAATAAATAAGTCGATTTAGATCAGGTGTTCCCAACCCCCAAGGCATAGACCGGTACTGCAGCGTTAGGAACCAGGCCACACAGCGGCAGGTGAGTGGTGGGCTAGTGAGCAAATGAAACTCCATCTGCCTCTCCCCATCTCTCCCCGCTGCTCAGCTCACATTAGCTTCTGAGTCATCCCTCCCTCATCCCCCTCTGTGGAAAAATTATCTTCCATGAAACCAGTCCCTGGGGTCAAAAAGGCTGGGGACCTCTGATCTAGATGTCTGCCTCATACCATATGGAGAAACAAATTCCACATGGTTTAAAGATCTAAATACAAGAAAACAAAACTACAAACTAGAAAATGTTCTTAGTTGATAATCTTGGAGTAAGACGGCTTCTCTTGGGCACAAATAGAACAAAGGCCATCAGGAAGACAACTAAAATAAAAGATAAAAGTTTCAAGCGGTAGCCGAGACAAAATCATTTGCTATGATACCAGTAAAATAAAAAGAGAGCTTGCAAACTAGGAATAGAAACATCAAAGCCCAGTGGAAAAGTAAGCCAAAGCCTGAAACTGCAAGTCACAAAGAAATGAAAGGACCAGAGCCAGTTCACAGATGAAAAGCTGCTCCTTCCCTGATATTCAGGAACGTGCAGGAGTAACAAAGGACTGCCATTGCCCGCATCCTGAACTTTACAAGTCTGCGTGCTAACCATACCCAGAGATACAAGGGAAGGTGAAACTTCTGCATAAGACTAAGTGAAAGAAGATGAGAAAGTGAAAGCCTCACAGTCATGTCCGACTCTTTGCAACCCCATGAACTGTAAAGCCTGCCCGGCTACTCTGTCCATGGGATTCTCCAGGCCAGAGTACTGGAGTGGGATGCCATTTCCTTCTCCAGGGGATCTTCCAGTACTGGGGATCAAACCCAGGTCTCCTGCATTGCAGGCAGATTCTTTACTGACTGAGCCACTTAAAAATGATCACAGTCTCTGCGAGGATTATTTGCTGTTAACTCTCAAATTTTAAATGCACTCATGTTTTGCTAACAATTCCCCTTCAAGGACTATTTCTGAGAGTCTCACACATAAAAATCAATCATATATACAATGTATTTTATTGGGATGTGTAATCATGGATAAAGGGAAGTAATCCCGTGCCCACTGAAAGGAAAAGGAAGAGCTGAGGCCGTCGTTGTTCAGGCCCTCAGTCGTGTCCGGCTCTTTGTGGCCCCATGGACTGCAGCACGCCAGGCTTCCCTGTTCCACCATCTCCCTGAGTTTACTCAAACTCACGTCCCTTGAGTCGGTGATGCGATCCAACCATCTCATCCTCTGTCATCCCCTTCTCCTCCTGCCCTCAATCTTTCCCAGCTCAGGGTCTTTTCCAATGAGTCTGCTCTTCACATCAGGGGGCCAAAGTGTTAGAAAGTCAGCTTCAGCATTAGTAGAAGATGCTTGCTCTATCTACCCTCTGAAACACAGAAATGAAGGAAAACCCAGGGAGCTGAATCCTTGGTGAGCAGTTGAGGCCACCGCCATTCTGACTGTTTTTAAAAGTTTGCCAGGTATATTTTATGCATGTGCTTGTGCAGGTTCAGAAGAAGAAATAAATATCACCCGGTGAAATGGCTGGCAATGTGTACCATATATGCTGCCATCAGCAAAGACCAGAGGGAGACACAAGATCCAGCCATCCTTGCTCTTGTTTCTATTGTTTGGACCCACCTCGTATCTCCACAGCTGAATCATAAACACAACAGAGGTGGAAATAACCCTCCTTCTTCTGTCATTTCCATGCCCTTAGCACAGGAACTACCTTATAGCCCCATATCCAACCCAAACTGTCCCCGCCTATTTCTAACAAGATATGGAGCTCTTTTCAGAGACCGCAGATCTAAACTACAAGTCCTGCCGCTGAAGCATGCCAAGGAGGAGAATTTACCTCAACAGTAGAACCAAAGTGCCCCCCCCGCCACGTCATGGAACCAGGACCGGAGGGGAGGAGTCCCTTGTCCAGGAAGATCTGGTGGTTATCTTTTCAGCCTTCTCACACCTTGCAGTAAATGGACCAGTTGAAAGCCTGCAAATCAGAAGCTGTCCCACCAGAGCATCTGCGTACCAGCCTGTCCTCCCAAGTCAAAAAAGTGTGACAAAACCCCAACTGGGGAGACGGATCTGAGCCCTGCCTCCTGCCTCCTTGCTGGTCAACTTCTCCATCAGTTCAGTTCAGTTCAGCCACTCAGTCGTGTCCGACTCTTTGCGACCCCTTGGATGGCAGCACGCCAGGCCTCCCTGTCCATCACCAACTGTCGGAGTTTACTCAAGCTCATGTCCATTGAGTCGGTGATGCCATCCAGCCATCTCATCCTCTGTCATCCCCTTCTCCTCCCACCTTCAGTCTTTCCTGGCATCAGGGTCTTTTACAATGAGTCAGCTCTTTGCATCAGGTGGCCAAAGTATTGGAGTTTCAGCTTCAACATCAGCCCTTCCAATGAACTTTCAGGGCTGATTTCCTTTAGGAAACCCCTCAATAAAGCTGTTTCTTTTCTCAAGTCGTAGCTGTAGCATTGGCTTCTAGGAGTCGGACAACAAGCTTCTGCTTGACAGTACGTGGAGGTATTTTTTGGCCGATTCCTTTATTCATGGTAACTCTTATTTGGGAGTGCACTTTCTGTCCTCTTGGTAAGCGAGCCCCATTCTCCCCTCTTAGGTAGAACCTCTGAAAGGACACGAGTATACTTTCATCCAGGGGGTCAGTTGTGTCCTGCAATTCATCCGCAGAGCCTGGAAGCCTGGCCCCTGCTACTCAGAAACAGACTCCATGAGCGTTGCTGCCTGGGGCTCGGCCCCGAGCTTGGCCGTGTGGTTGGTAGCCAGCCTCCAGTCAGGTTTCTGCTCGCTGCTGCCATGCAGCCGTAATCTTTGCTTTTCCGAAACTAGAAGTTTGGACATCTTGGGGCCCTTGATGATCCTGGGGGAATTTCTCCTCCCAAAGTTAGCCGGAACTAGGGCTTCCCAGGTGGTGCCAGTGATAATGAGTCCTTCTGGGTCTCCTGCATGGGCAGGCGGGTTCCTTACCCCTCCCGCTGCCTGGGAAACCCCACGTGAGCTTGAGCACCAGGCCCATTGCGTTTAGGGACTGTGGGCAAGGTTAACCTGCAGTGTGCCGAGAGGTCCCCTAGGTGGCAGCATCGCACCAGTTGGCCAGATGGACAAACATCCTTCCAGCCAGGAGCGCCCATCATGGTCATGGCAGGAAGGTCCACGGGGCATCCCCGGGTCCATCAGGCAGGGCGGCCATCCAGGCAGCGTCTCCAGAAGCGGAAGGGCCCAAGGTCCCAAGGATGAGAGAAAGCTCTTCCTAAGCAAGTGGTAGTCGCTCACTCGTGCCCGACTCTTTGCGACCCCATGGACGGCAGCCCACCAGGCTCCTCTGTCCATGAGATTTTCCAGGCAAGGGTACTGCCATGGGTTGCCATTTCCTTCTCCAGCTCTCCCTAAGGAGGAGCTAGTCAAGATCCCCTAGTCAAGGAATGAGGCCGTGGCGGGAGGGGGGGTGGGCATTGCAGATGGATATGGGGACAGGCTAGAGGCGTTCAGAGAGGCTGTCCTGGGAGGCCAGAGGCTAGTGACGGGGGAGGAGACATCGGGCAGGGGTCAGAGCATCCTGACGCAGGACCCTGGTCTCAGCCGGAGATGCGTGAGGCTGCAGGTCACAGGCCAGGGGACCAGCTGGACTGGAGATTCGGTGAGGGGTCAAGGGAAGTCACGGTGTCACCGAGTTGCTCTGCCCACTGCAGGGTGCCTGAATCTTCCCGAAGGCAGTGTCCAGACAGGCACCGGGGAGCCGCTTCTCACACCACATGAGTCAGAAGAAAGTCTCTGAGCACACACTGGTTCTGACTCATACTGTGGTGTTGCTTTAGAAATGACTACTCAGCCATAAAAAGGAAGGAATGAGAGTCAGTTGAACTGAGGTGGATGAACCCAAAGCCTGTGATGCAGAGTGAAGTAAGTCAGAAAGAGAAAAATAAATATCACATATTAATACATATATATGGAATCAGGAGACCCGGGTTTGATTCCTGGGTCAGGAAGATCCCCTGAAGAAGGAAAGGGTAACCCACTCCAGTATTCTTGCCTGGAAAATCCCATGAGCAGAGGAGCCTGGCGGCCTACAGTCCATGGAGTCACAAGAGTCAGACATGACAGCAACTACACCACCACCACCATGGAATCTAGAAAAGTGGTACTGATGAGCCTATTTACGGGGCATGAATAGAAAACAAATGTGTGGACCCCAGAGGGGAAGGAGAGGGTGGGAGAAAATTGGGAGAATAGCACTGAGACATGCAGACTACGGTGTGTGAGACAGGTATCTGGGGGAGTTGCTATGTCACACAAGGGCCCCAGGGTGCTGCGCTCTGACGGCTGAGATGAGGCGGGATGAGGGGCTGGGCCTGGGAGACTCAAGAGGGAGGGATATACGTGCCTTCGTGTATACTTAGGGCTGATTCTGTTGTATGGCAGAAATCAAAACAACAGGGTGAACCAATTATCCTCCAACTGTGAAAAAATAAAAAATGTACACACAACTCCATCTTTACAGGGGTCTCACAGGGCTCTAAAGGAAGCACTGTTATTTGTGTTTAAAAGAATCAGCCCCAATGTGTAAGGTGTGTGCCTGATGACAGGGCTTTTCAGGTCATTCCAGAGCAGAGCGGATTTTAAAGAGAAGTGAGACGGAATGCGGTACCGAGCAGGCGCCAGCTCGGGAAGACCTTGGAGCCTTTATCTCGCTGGTGACGTTGCTCAGAGCAGAGGATTCGGCTTAGTAAGGGGTTGTGTGGGGTCTGTCCTGCCCCCGTTCCGCCACAGTGTCCTAGGACCCACACCAGTTACACGCAGAGTGAAGTCCATATATGCTTCTTAAATTGAGTCCAAACCGAGTATAGAAATCAATTACTTTTCAAATACCCACAGTGACTAGTAATCCAACATCTTACGGCTGAGCTTCCCTTGCTGTTCCCATCTCCATCTTCAGCCATTGAACAGAGGAAATTGTTGGGAGGATGGGGAGGGACCAGAGGCTGGGGGAGGTGGGAGAGGATGAGTTATCCGGGGAGGAGGGCGGTGCTGTGAAGTTGCAGAATCAGCAGGCACAGAGAACGGCTTGCAGACACCCTGAGGCTCAGGGAGCCTGGACCCGTGGGCCGTCACATCGCTGAGCCTCAGTTTCTGCATCTTCACAAGGCCTCTTCTGCGCCAAATGGTGGGAAACCCTGCCCCGGGGGCTCATGTTTCTCTCCCTTGATTTACGTATAACAGTATTCTTCCTTCCTCAGCTTATACCCTCCATCCGTGACCTCAAGGAGGATCACAAAGACAGTGGGGAAATTCCACTGCTCAGTCCTAGGAAACCACGCACAGGACCCACGTGTTGTCCATTCACAGATCTCTTCCTGTTGAGCCTGTGGACCACTAGTTTTGGAGAGTGAAAATAAGCTTCAAGACGTTAGTCTACCAGATCCCTCACTTTTAAGCTATTTTTTCATTTCCCCTGTCAACTTTTCATTGATTGAAAGACTGTTTTCTATTATAGACTCATCAATTCTACTGTGATAAAAAGTTTAGGCAGATTTTCCCCCCATAAATATTGTACCTGTATTAGAACAAGCACTAGAAACAATAATGTAAAGGTTAGAAAAATAAAGTTACAACGTGGCTCTTGTATGCACATTCCCAAGGAGTCTATAGACATATTGATTATGTCATACAGAGTCTCTGTAACGGGTGTAATTACAGCATGATGTAGACGTACTCAATGCACGCTGTGGGCTGCAGCTGAGGTTCCAGGGTGATTCATGTTTCACCTTGCCAACATGTCTGGAGGGACCTAAAAGAATTTAATAATCCTCAATAAACATATAGACAGGAGTTAATGCTTGTGGTTAGATTTGACAGGGAGGCCTGGTGTGCTGCAGTCCATGGGGTCGCAGTGAGTCAGACACGACTGAGTGACTGAACTGAACTGAGATTTCACCTGGATGAAAAGTGTAGGACTCCAACCTTGTGATTCACCGGCTGCTACTATTCACCAAAGGAAGAAGTTCTCTTGCTTGATGATAAGACATCCTGCCCTCTGCTCAGAGGGAGACTGGTACTCTTCCACTAAAAGCCGCTCCCTAAACAAATATCTCTGAAAAGCTGGAACAAATGCAGTCAGTGCCTTGGCTCATAAGAGTCTCGGAAGCAGGAGAGCCCCGCAGAGAGGTGCCTCCAACTCCTGTTCCATCTGCGATGCCTGTGAGAGGCATGGGCACGTGGTGTTGTAGCCACGCGTTCCGGGAAACAAACGCACTCAGAAGGACAATGCAGATAGTGGAGTGCAGTGTATTACACGGGCGGGCCCAAGGCGGAGTCTCCTCTTAGCCAAGGACTGCAACCAGTTTTTGTGAAAACCTCATATACTCTTTAAGTTTTTGTGCCCAAACCCACTTTCCAAATTCCCTGAAATTAGTCTGAACAAAGGAAAAGAAAGATGCAATCAAAGCTAACCCATGATTATATGCCTTAGGCCTAGGTAGTTAACAGTGGACAATTATCAGTAGGCCTGTGGTCATACCCCAATAAGCATAATAGAATGTATGATTCTATTCAGTTACACAGATAATTAGGGTATCTTTTAGGATGGAGAGTCTCTTTACGAGCCCTGGGGCTCTTCCTTCCAGGGGCCCGGTTTTCCAGTTGCTATGTCATTTCCACACACACTGGGCATAGAGCTCAACGTCCACAGTCCGGCCCAAGGCGGAGTCCTGCTTTCCAAACGGAGCCAGCTCTGTCTGCTTCCTCTTCAGTGGGAGTCATGTGCTCACACTTCCGAGTGTCTGTATGCGTGAAAGAGAGGCCAGCGATGGAAGAGATGCGGGGTGGCGGTCTGGCAGGTAGGCAGTTGGATGGTTCCCCTCCGCTTCCTGCTTCTATGTTGCCTGCTGACAGAGCATGTCTGAGTTTGATGGTGGGGCAGCTGTTTGGATGGCTGACTGATTCTGCGCACGGGATATTTACAAGTTTGGTGTGCGACAGCGGAGAGTGCCCAGGCATGGATGCCCGACATGTTTTTATCCACAGCTGGTGGCATCGCCTCGGCCCCCAGGCAATACCAGCTGCAGAGGGTTTTGCCACAGATTCTGAATCACATGCTCGAATTCTCTGCCCTTGATAGTAGGAAATGTTAGTTTATTCTTTTTTGTATGATTTATTTTTAAAATTTTGGCTGCCCTAGGTCTTCATTGCAGTGTGGGGGCTTTCTCTAGTTGTGATGTGCAAGGGATTTTTCTAGTTACCCCATGGCACATGAGCTCTTGTTTTGCAAACCAGGGATCAAACCTATGTCCCCTGCGTTGGAAGGCAGGGGAAGTTGCACATGCTAGTTTCAAATGCTAGTTTAGATCCTTAGGAAAAAGGACAAGCTGTTCGTGTGTGTTTGGAAGTCGACGGGATCATATCAAGCATGTCCTATCCTTGGCATGTTCATTTTTTTCCTGCCATAAGTAATGAGGGCTGAGATAGAAGCTTCTCCCTGGGGTGATTTTCACAACAGTACGGGTGCCCCTGAGGCTTCTCTGATAGCTCAGTTGGTAAAAAATCCACCTGCAATCTGGGAGACCTGGGTTGGGAAGATCCCCTGGAGAAGGGAAAGACTACCCACTCTAGTATTCTGGCCTGGAAAATTCCATGGACTTGGGGTCACAAAGAGTCAGACAAGACGGAGAGACTTTCACTTTCACTTTCAGGGGTGCCCCTGAACAAAGATCAGATCGGCCAGGTTTGCGCTGCTGTTGCTGTGGCAACCTTGGTCTTCAAGGGACCATTGTGCACATAAAGTGGCAAACGCTGGGGGGCTGTGCCTTGTTTTAAATGACAAAGGCCACTTCTCAGTGCTTTGTGCTTTGAGATGGTGATGATTACCAGGAAAGTCTCTCAAGGCAGCTTAGACACCCTTGAGTCTTTGAAGAGCACTCAAAGCATTTTTTTTGAGAAAATTTCTTCTGTTTTGCTCTGAAATCCCATCCTGGAATCTTTTTTTATGTAGGAAGGATTCATTGGAAGGACTGATGTTGAAGCTGAAACTCCAATACTTTGGCCACCTGATGCAAAGAACTGACTCATTGGAAAAGACCCTGATGCTGGGAAAGATTGAAGGAAGGAGAAGGGGACGACAGAGGATGAGATGGTTGGATGGCATCAC